GAGAGGGAGGGAGAGGGAGAGGGAGAGGGAGAGAGAGAGAGAAAGATAACTGTTTTTGATGTTTGATTTTAATTGTGAGCCGCCCAGAGTCACCCTTTGGGGGAGATGGGCAGCATATAAATTTAATAATAAATAAATGGGAGATTGGAATTGAGTGATCTCCCCACAACTGGATAGAACCTCTGAGAAAAACATTAAAATCACTCAAGGTAAATTACAAAAAGTTTTTTTTTTTAAATTTGATGGACAATTTAGGGCTGCTTGATATATGGAGACAGAAAAATGGCAATTCAAGAGAGGATATCTATTTTTCTGAAAGACGTAGATCCTTTCAAGAATAGATACGATGTGGATTTCAAAGAACTTGTTACTAAGGTTTCTAAACCAGAGATATTACCAAAGACTTTTTTGGATCATAATCCTTTGAGTTTGGTTTATAAAAGAAAATCTAGTTCTTTTAGATGGAGACTAAACAAAATGTTGCTACAGAAAGAAGCAATAGTGGAGGATTGTAAAAAGAAATTAAAAGATTTTTTTAATATGATTTAGGTAAAGACACTGATTTAAGAATCATTTGGGATGCAAGTAAAGCTTTTATTAGAGGTTATTTTATACAACATAATAATGAACTCAAAAAGAAGAGTCAAGAGAAAACACAAGCTATTTTGGATGAGATAAAGAAAAAAGAATTAAAGAAATTCCCAGAGAAGGTAAGTACTTCTCAACAGATTAAGTTATTACAACAACAGTTATCTATGTTAACAGTAAGAGAAATGGAAATTATGTAAAGCAAAAAAATTTTGAGTTTGCAAACAAACCAGGGAAGTGGCCGTCATATAAATTATAAAAAGAAAAGAAAAGAAAAGAAAAGAAAATGATATTGAAATTACAAAAGGGAGATACTGTATTAATGGACAACGTGACTATACAAAAAGCATTTTATCAATATTATTCCAACTTGTATAAAGGAAGTGACATCTCTGTAGAGAAAATAGATGAATATCTAAAGAAACAAAATTTACAAAGAATTACAGAGGAACAGAGACAAATTATGAATAGACCTTTAACAATAAGGGAAGTTTCTGAAGCTATAAAAAAGATTAAACCAGGAAAGGTGCCTGGACCAGATGGATTATCAGGTTTTTATTATAAATGTTTTGAGGATGAACTTTTACAATCTCTACAAACACGATGAACTCCATCCTATAGAGAGGAAAGATTCCAAAGAGTTGGAAAAAGGCCAGTATAGCATTAATACCTACAGAGGGACAAGATTCAACTTTAACTCTTTTGTTTATTTTGGTTCTTCAAATACTGAAGAGAGACATAAGACAAGATGAGAGGATTGTGGGAGTAAAGCTTAAAAGAGACTTATAAGTTAAGAGCTTTTGCAAATGACTTGGTGTTGGTTTTGGAAGATCCTTTAAGTTTGGAGTTGAAACATTAATGAGCAACTTAATAGAATTTAGTGCATTAGCAGATTTTAAGATTAATAAACAGAAGATGAAGATGTTAAAAATATGAAAATACAAGATCAAACAGAATTGATGAATAAAATGGTTTTTAAATTAAGAAGGTAAAATATTTGGGTATCACTATGACAAATATGAATTGTATGTTATTTCAAAATAAGTATGTTAAGACATGGAATGAAGTTAAAAAAGATATGTTAAAATTACAAGATCAAACAGAATTGATGAATAAAATGGTTTTTAAATTAAGAAGGTAAAATATTTGGGTATCACTATGACAAATATGAATTGTATGTTATTTCAAAATAAGTATGTTAAGACATGGAATGAAGTTAAAAAAGATATGTTAAAATGGGAGCAACTAGGCCTGTCATTGCTGGAGAGAATTTCTGTGATTAAGATTAACGTGTTGCCTAGAATGATGTTTTTGTTTCAGACAATGCCTGTTTTGACAACTGATGCACCATTTAAAAATGGCAAAAAGATATATCTAAATTTGTGTGGCAAGGGGAAAAAACCATGAGGTAGATATAAGGTGTTACAAGATGCAAAGGAAAGAGGAGGATTAGGTTTACCTGATTTGAAATTGTATTTTATAGTTTGCTGTTTGGTTTTGATGAAAGAGTGGATGTTGCTGAGAAATAGAAGGCTTTTGGAGTTAGAAGAACATGACCTGAGATTTGGGTGGCATCAATATTTGTGGTATGACAAAGTTAAAGTTAATGTAGATTTTAAAAATCATTATGTTAGACATGCCATACTGAGAATATGGAATAGATACACACCCAGGTTGTGCCCGAAAACACTTCTGTGACTCTCAGCACAAGAAGCATTTTATAGATGAGTACAATGAGCAAACATAATGGCTAACTTAGCATGAGATACTAAAATTTTGTCAAGGGGAATGTAAAATAAAATCAAGAGACAATCTGGTGGCAGAGAGATATACTTCTCAATGGTTTTCTTATTTACAATTATTAGAAAGATTTAAAGTAGACTAAAGAATTTATGGTTTTGAACATTGTAAGACTGCGTTTGAAATAGAACTGTGTACAAATGATGAACGTGTAACTGCTAAAATGTATAAACTTTTATTGAAATTTGAAACAGAAGAAAAAAGAACGTATGAAAAAGTGGGCTAAAATTTTTAGTTATACAGATGGAACAATGGGAAAATATGTGGCTGAAAGGATTGAAATTTACATTATGTTATAATCTTAAAGATAATTTTAAAAGAACGTATGAAAAAGTGGGCTAAAATTTTTAGTTATACAGATGGAACAATGGGAAAATATGTGGCTGAAAGGATTGAAATTTACATTATGTTATAATCTTAAAGATAATTTTTATAAAATGATGTATTGTTGGTATATGTCAACAGAGAAATTGTCTAGAATGTATAAATTTTAATTTTATATTGGAAATGTGAAACACGAAGGGACATTTTATCATGTTTGGGGGATGTGTAAAAAAGCTAGATTCAAATTCACACACTGATTCAGAGGATTTTAAAGATTAATATACAATTGAAACAGAGGCTTTTCTTTTGGGATGGATGGCGAAACAGTTGGAAAAAAGTCTTCGAACTCTGTTTTTGTATATGTTAACTGTAGCAAGATTATTGTATGCGCAAAGATTCAGTACTACCCACAATGGAGGAATGGTTGGTGAAGATGATGGAACTTGCTGGGATGGCCAAATTGCCTTCTTTGATTAGAGGAAACACAAAATCTATATTTATTGCTGAATGGAAACCCCTTAGATTTTTTGTGTGAAACAGAAAAAAATAAACTTATGATTTATGGTTTGGATGATTAAACAGAATAGATCATAGAAAAAAAGAGAGTTATATTGTAACCATAAAGCAAGAGGTAAATTTATAATCGTGCTTATAACCGCTGTAAAGAAGATTGGAAGCTACTTCTTTGTATCTTTTTTTTTTCTATTTCTTTTTTCTTTTTTTTCTTGCACTTTTAGCTCCCTCTTTCTTTTTTCTTCTTTTCTTTTTCCCACTCTATATTAGTTTCTATTAGTTTTTATTTTCTTTCTTAAACTCTTTAATAAAATTATATTTTAAAAAAAGGATTCTAGAAGGATCTTATCCAAGCTTTGACTAGTAAATCAGTGCTAAGCCAGAAATTAATTCCCTTAGCTACTCTGCCAGGCTTCCTTCCCATATGTTTTTGCTCCATGTGAACTAGAGCAACTTTTTTGTACATGGGACAAGGGACATGGGGGAGAGTTTTTTAATACCTCATCTGACCTCAGGGGGTGTGGCCTGTGATGTCACAAAGGGGTGGTGGTTAACCATTCAGAGCAAAATGGATCCCCTAAGTCTTGCATATCTAAGATGCTTATTTTGCCCCTTAACCCTGCCCAAACAGTTAACAATTTTGCCTTGTTCATTCAAGAGGTACTTTGTACCGCCAATGAGTCACCAACTCTGTCAGACAGATGTAAGACTTGATAACCTAAATGGCACTTTTATTAGACTACAATTCCACAGGCTACTGCTGTGAGGTAAATTTATAACATGCAGTTTTTCAAAGAGTAAAGTGAATTTTAATAATTTTGCAGGCCATTTCAAAATAGATTCATAAACCTTAATTTAAAAAAGTGCTTATCACACTGCTTCAAAATATCTATATCAAAAATTTCTGCCTTTTCTGTCATAGACAATTTAACAACAAGCCTAGCAAATACTTGAAAGTTAAAATAACTCACCTCATTATTAGTAAAGAATCTATACAGAGCCCAAACATCTTGAAAGCTACAGTTGGGCACTAAGACTCTGGAAAAAAAGAAACAAACAGAGATAGAAAATTAAGGGTTTTTTTTAACATGAATGTTCAAGTTGTTATAGTCTACCCTCCTTCCTGACAATATTGTACACATATAAATATGGGTTTTAATATGAGGTTTAGATTCTAAAATATCATTTCCCCCATCCTGATTCCAGAGAACACTAGTCAGAAGGTGAAAAAATAACTTTGGACATATCCCTACTGCACCCTTACGCTGCTTCTGTTGGACAAGAAATAAATATAACACTTACTTTTAATAAATTTTAATCTCTGTATCATCTATATATCGAACTGTGTGGTTCTGCCATTGACCACTAAGTCTTGTGCAGGCAAAGCAAGTAGCACAGCCCAGAGCAGGCTTCAACAGTGGTCTCACTCTGTCAGTGCAAGGCTGATCAGTTCTGTTTTGTTTTAATTGTGATCCTCTCTAATTGTTTGTGTCATACTTGAGGGCACCAAACCACATAATCAGAAGCTGGCTCACACTCGGTGCAATGTAACAACTGGACAGCCTGTTCAGTATGTATTAAGATGCAGAACCACTGTTCATATTGTAGGGACTGACCAATCCTAAAAGGAGGATTTAGAAAATACCTGATGAAGAGACAGGTGTTGGTTAAAACAGCAGTCCTGAATTGCTCTTTAAGAGCTAATTCCTTAATTGCTGCAAACTGGTTCTTAAGTAACATTTACTTAATGTTAATCAGTTGGTGCAGTCACGTGATGTGGCACTTTACAACCCCGTCGTTTAGTGACAATGTTGCCAGTCCCAATTACCACCATTAAGTGAGGACTACCTGTAATCTTACATGTGTTTGTGATGATCATGAAGCCAGGTGATTTCTCTGTAATGTTACACCTCTGTTACGTTAAAATGTGCCTTGCTTTGAAACTCAGGAAAACGATAAACAACAGCCTTGAACATTGTGGCCAGACTAGAAAGAATGCATGTATGTAGGATAAATGATGCCTGCCGGGCCTGGGCTTGCAGGAATTGAAAAGCTGTTTGAATGTAAGTTAAGCATGTGAGATAAGGAAGCCAAGGTAATTTGAGGATAAGGTAATGGAAGAGAAGTGGTGCAGATGAATTCAAACCACCTCCTTCTGGAAAAGGCAGAGCAGTGGGCCACAAATGGTTACAAATAAGAGAGGGAAGTGGGTCAGGATGCTAAGGCAAGGAATGCTGGATTGCAGAGGTGGCTGTGAATAGGAGCTGAGGCCCAGGAAGCCAGGTTGGCATTATGGAAGCTCCTCAGAAGTGTCCAAGAGTTATAAATAGTTGTGGAAAGTCTTCAAGAAGTAGACAACTCCAAGAACCCCCCCCAAAAAAACCAGAACAAGGGGAGGAGAGAGCCACACACGTACTATGTGTCTAAGCATGAATTAATGAGGTAGCTGAGAAGGATACTGTGAACAGTTTAAAAGAGACTGAGACGTGTCTCACCTGACTGGTTTCAGCCCACATGTCTGTAAAGCTCGGCAAGATTTGTAGGAACATCACTCATTGTCTAGGCCCAATCAGCTTTTTGATGGGGATAACTGTTGTTTGGGTTACTATGTGACATTAACTGGAGTGAATATATTCCTGTGGTATTTAATAGCAGTGAGTTAAGTTTCTAAGATTCCAAGGATTCCCCATCTCAAGAACACACTCTTGGGGCCTGTTTATGAACCCCAGAAATATGTAGTACATTGGCATGGCACTAGGTACAGGAAAAGAAGTTGGAAGTGCTTGGGAAGAGCCAAGAGAACATGTGGATGCATGAGCTGGCCAGTACAGGGTTCATCACATACTATTCATACTTAAAACACTTCTTTATTTGCAAAGCTTATATTTAATGGCCCTGTCATGCAACATCTTGCCTCGTGAGATGCTACTGCCACTGTATCATATATGGACAACCTATGGCCCTTGGCTATTCTAAGATCTAAAGAATCCCAAGAATCTTCCCTGTTTCTTCACATTGACTGCATGACCGGTTACTGCTCCCTTATGGCTGCTCATGTTTCTCAAGCAGTTGAGAAAACACTAGGTTAAACCTGAGCCACACACACTATTCAGTTCATGGATACTTACTGCTGAATTCCAGCAAGAATTTCATTCACTGTACTCATTAATTTCTGCAGATCCATAAAAACTTCTTGAAATGAAGAGATATTCTGAGTTGGGGATATTGCACTGAGGTCTAGTTTTTGGAAAATTTCAAAACTAAAAAAAGAAGAGGATTAATTAAAAAATAATAATTACAAATCAACATGGACTCATTTTCTCCACTGCAATCCACCTCTCCTTACGTTTGCAGAAAATCATATAGGTATGTAATTTGCTCCCTAATTGGTTGATCCCTATCCCCACTCTATCACCTCTGTTTAAGTCACAGCAGTCATCAGACTTCCTCCAAAGTATTAGGTGACAAAGCCTAAAGGATTTTATAGACTTTAAAATTCCAGTCAAAATAAAGTGTGTAAGGGAGAGGAAATATTATTTTAATGGTGGTATGTTGCCAGGACATGTTTGTGCTGTGGTAGATGCAAGTGGGGAAAGGCCCACAATAGAAAGAAAAAAAGTAATCATGGACATAGTTGGATTGGCCACTTAATGATGTGTGAAATGACTTGCAAAATGATGGAAAGCAGAACACTCTTCCCAATAATTAAGTGATTTTGTGGAAGAGACCCTTGTAGGCAGAGAGGTGGGGAGCTGACCTAGCAAGTAACAGAAAGCAAATGTTGGACTCTCCAATATGTAAAGAATCTGCTGAGGTTTATTCTTCCCAGTCCCTTGAGCATTTAGGTACAGGGCTGAAAACAGAAACAGACTCTTTGGAGTCTTAGTAGTCCAAACCAAGAACTCAAAGTAACACTCAAAATAAAATATCTAACTAAGGAAGTAAATGGATCTGGAAGCAGCAGTTTTAGGCTTGTTCTCCTGCTCTCACACCAACTGTCTCAATAAGCTTTCTGGACTCAGCTGTAAACACATAAGCAATTCCTTAGTTGAGCAGTCACTGGCTCCCCCCTCCCACCCAGGCTTTCCAGCATGAGGAAGCAGCTCCCTTCTCTGCCTGGGCAATGAGCTGAGCTTCCAGCCAGGCAGCTTAGAAGGAAGAGGGAGTTTGTTTATACAGGCCTGATAAGGGTAATCTAGCAGGTGTTTCCTCTGTAAGCTTATCTTTGTCATTCTCTGACATGTCCCTCAACCATCTTCTCCAACCCCCACACCTGCCCTTGCTTCAGAGCAGCCTTTATGCTCAGCAGGCCCTGAGTCTGTAGGCACTCATACTCTGGTGCTGTGACTTACTCACAAGGAGGCTGGTGCTTTCCCTTCACCAAGTTGAAAGTTGGATTCTAAAACTAGTCAGCGTTACATGAATCAATATGCAGCCTACTGATGGCAACACTACATGCAGAAATATTATTATTGATACAGTGCCTTTCCTGCCCTGGCACTTAATTTAATTACACAGGAAAACATTAGGCAGATCCCATCCAGAAAGAATTCACAATTCATGCTCAGCAGTGGAGCATGCTTGAAGGAAGGCATGACATGCATGTACTTCTCTAAATCCTTGTCTAGTGCATATAAAGAATGCTTTATATAAGAATTCATTTCAAAACATACTGATTTGGGGATGAAAACATTATTTTAGCAAATAGTACCTGAACACATTGATTCTGTTCCATACACTTTCAAGGACAGACCAAATTTCCATATGCTTATTTATTTGTGTTGAAGGCTCTGTGAACAAAGGCTTATCTCCTGTCTGAGTGTGTTCTGACAAAATCACATCTTCCATTTTTTCACAAGTATCATTTCCCAAATTAGATTTCAGGGTATCTGTAGAATTTCCCCCTGTACTTGACTCCATCTTATGAAAACATAACAAGGAAGCAGTAATGGTACCAGTTTTAATGTACAACTATCAGTTACAAATATTTGAGGAATACCACATTAAAAATAATAATAACAATCGTGTTAATGGCAGAAGCCCAAAGATAAGTTTTGTTCCCCTCTCTTCCACAAAAAAGATTTAATTTATTTTCCTCACTGGCTACTTGAAGGATTTATATACAACTTCATAAATTTCATAAATTATACAAGGACAGTTCACAATGCAGTTTAAAATCTAAAAATAATAGAGCTTACAATGAAAAAAATAGACAACGTAGCAAATATTTTCAAATAAAATAAAATAAACTTATACATTCACAACAGGGATTTTCTGAATATGTTCCAGCCAGGCCCTTGCTTACCAGTGCAAGTTCTTCCACCTGCTCTATTTCCAGGAACATAAATAGAACTCTCCTGGCCTGGCAAATATTTCTAAATAAGCCTGAACACTTCACCACATATACCTTGGCAGTGGTCTAGAGACAAGATAATTTAGGTGCCAACTACCTCCTGGCTGAGGCAACTGTGGTTGAGAGACAGCTGCTTTCTCATGGCAGTAGCAGACCCAAATGAATAAAGGTATTTTCTTCTTTCCCCTCTTCAGTCAATGCAAGGTATCCCTTCCCCTCCCCTGCTTGACTCTTAAATTCACAGGGAATCTCTTCTCCTGCTCCCATTCAGAATATACTTATGCATGCAAGCCCCTTCCCATCAGAACCCTTCTAAACTTGGCTGCCTTTCTCTCTCTCCTTATTTCTTCACAACCAGGATGGAGAAAGAGTGAGTACTAGAGAAGCCAGCAGGATTTCTGAGGGCTCTGTTTCCACTCCATGGCCAGCTGCCTCCTCATCCTGATTCCAGGCTATAACTGAAGAGAGGAGGAAGAAGAGATTGATAGAGGTGGTGGTGGTGTTGCTTCTGTAAGTGATGTCTGAATCAGGAACAGCAGCAGAGGAGAAGATAGTATACTAGAAGCAAATATATCTCTTCCCTCCCTCCCTGCTGTTCCTCCAGTATGACTTCTGTTGGGACCCCACAAGACATAGAGCAAGCAGGAGCCAGAGCCCAAGGATGCCTGTGCCTGAAGGTTTCAAGGTGGCCTCCTCCCATACTTTCACAGTTTATACATCACTGCTGCTACAGAAGCCAACTTTTTTTATTCAGGAATGAAATTTGGATCTTGTTTTATCCACTGCAAATGCAATACTAATTGCCATTTAAAAGGAAACATTTCAAACACAACTAGCTTTTTCCTTTGAATGATGATAAATATGAATACCACCACTCTTGTAACCAGGTTTATGAATCTAGAAGGAACTGTGCTTGTCAAAACTTAGTTTGGCTTACCTTTTGAATAGCCTTGAACAATTTATCCATTTGAGCTAAAGCCTGTGAAAGAACGCCATTATAGCTGGACCTTGAACTGAAGACTTCCAATAACATTTTTGATTCTTGGAGGACCTTCTTTACTGTTGAATTGTTAATTATTTTAACTGAGACAGGGAGCAAGAAAGAATGTTGTTGAGTTCTGAAAATCCTGACTACCTTAATTATTATTAAATTCTTTTGAACATACACTAAAAGGATATGATTATTCAGGAATAAATTTACTTTTTAAAACAGAAGATGTACAATTATCAATCTTGAAACTGGATTAATTTCTATGCCTTGAGTTGTACAAAATAAAGGAGGAGGAGGAGGAGGAGGAGGAGGAAAGGTAGAGATCTATGGCCTCATCACACTGCCAGAGGAAGCCATCATAATATAATAACAACAACAACAACATGACACAGTAGCAACAATAGTGCATTGTAATATCTGCAAGAAATACCATTTGCCTGCAAGCAAGAACCAATGGGACAACATAACAGACAAAGCAATAGAAAATGAAGAAGCTAAAATGGTCTGGGACTTCAGAATTCAAACAGACAAGCACCTGCCACACAATACTCCAGACTTAACAACTATTGATAAGAAAAACAAAAAAGTCTGGATAGTGGATATTGCAATACCTGGAGCAGCAGAATAGAAAAGAAAGAACTGGAGAAAATCACAAAATACAAAGACCTGCAAATAGAAGCAGAACGACTATGGCAAAAAAAAGCAAAGATAGTACCAATAGTAATAGGCACCTTGGGTGCAATCCCAAAATATCTGGAGTACCACTTGAACACCATCAGCATTGACAAAAATCACCATCGGTCAATTGCAAAAGGCAGCTTTATTTGGAACAGCTTACATCCTACGACGATGTAACACCATCAAACAACAACATCTACCTATCCCAGGTCCTTGGGAAGGACTCGATAGGTGGATAAAAATGCCAAATCCAGTCTGTCTGGCTGATTGTGCAACCAACAATAATAAAACAAGCTTTATATTTTTATTACTGTTGATTGTGCCCTTTCAATCTAACTTCGACCGCAAGTTACTGTAAATACTCCTACCTTTACAGAGATGCTGATAGAGATATTCAATAGTTGATAAAAGGCTTCTTGATATAACTTGTCCAAAAACAGCCACCCAGTGTTTTTTGTAACATTCCAACACAGTTGCTAGCGTCCAAGGGGGTTTATGATACACTACCTAGAAAAGAAAAATAAAATAATTTAGTAGTCAGATTTCAATAGTTTTTCTAGAAACATGTCCTCAACATTAGATTTTATGGCTAAGATAGTAGTAATTGTATCAACTCCTCCCTGCTCTAAGAGCTCTGCATATATAAATTACATATATTTAAGTGATAAAATCTGATTTTGGAATGCAGTTAATGCCACCTAATACAGTCTCTTCTAGCAGTTTATTTTCTTTTAAGAAAAGTTATATTAGAGAGACTTGATTTCCTCTTGGGAAAGAGAAAAATTTGGAAAGCTAGTTTGTAACCCCTGTCAAAACTATAACATTATGAAGGGATCAACAAAATAGTCAAAGTTTTACAAAACATATATTATTACCAACAGACAGAAGACACAAGTATGCTAAGGCAAGGCTATTTGTATATCATCACGCCATGTAACGCAAAAGGCAAAAATGTGGAATTGGGGATAGAATTCATCTTCCTGAGATTTTCAGCTTTTATTTAAGCTATGAAGGGTGTACAAAAAACGCTGACCTAAATCAGCAGTCACAGATGGCTAAAAGAAGCTGGCTGAATTTTGTCAATCATGGAGAATCAGGAAATCTGAAGAGCATTAAATAACAAGCAAATCCAGCATTAAGAATGCAAATTTGTAATAGATATTAAGCGATTTGCTCATTTATGTAAGCCATGGAATTCAGTTTTTCTTGGCATGCTAATTTGGTAAGATTCAGATTATATCTAAAGCCAAAATACACTAAGCATGAAGACAGATTTTTGATGAAGATTTCAAAGGCATTACTTATGCACAGCTGTTAGATCTTAGCATTTTAATTATTTTTAAACACATCTACTTTTTTTTAAGGAGTGCAATTCAGAGAATACATTATACTACTTTCCAAGGCTTCACTACATATTACAAATACAAATCTTGTTGATTTTGAAGGTATTTTAATATAATCATCATCTTATACATGCAGTCTTGTAATGCTTTTTAAAATATCGTGAGCAAAAGAGGCAGATTCCTAACTTAAGGAATCCACAATTAATTTGGAAAGTTGCATCTGAGCAGCTACTTTTCAATTTTATTTCCTGAACCTATTTTTTATAAAAAGTATGATAACAAAAACAAAAACCTCTTTTGATTTGAGATTTTAAGATGTGGAAGCTAGTTGCTATGCCTTTGTTTCTTTTATTGGCTTTTTCTTGTTTTGCATCGTTGATTAGCAGCTTAGACACAATTTTCAGAAAGCCACATACACTACTGCACAATGTCAAGTTTCATACAGGGGAAAATCTAAATATGCAACAAATGCATGTTTGCCTTTATAAATGTATAACTATGTACATGCATTTATGTACATGCATTTTTTTCAGGATTTTCTTGGTGATCAAGAGAAGTAGAAACTTCTCTTAGAGAAGTTACACAAGTCCTTTCTTTTTGTTTTAAACTATGCTTTGAAAGCCATAATTGCTTTTAAATTATGCTTTAAAAGGCATAATTGATGCCTGCTTGTTTATTAAATCATTTGTGAGATGCACAATGAAACATGACAGCATAAAATTCTTATGTCCAGACTTCCAATCAGCCATTCTAGCCTCATGTCTTGGTCTTCTGTTTGTCCCCACTTCGTTGCAACAACCTGTGGTCACTACCAAGCACACTTGCTCCCCATGACAGAGCTTCTGGTATTCTCTTGTTTTGGCTTTTTCTGTCCCCCAAACCTTCCCCCTCTCTATCCTACACCTAGGAGGTGAGGCTCAAAGAAATTAATAGCGTGTTGATAGGATGCTCTTTAATGTATGTAAATCTGGAACACTATGTGCACACATTCAATTTGCACCAAATCTGCTTAGATGGATGAAAGGACTTGGGCATGTCTCTGAGTCCTATGAAAAGGGGAGTTTACTTTAGGAAAAGAGAAAGAACAGGTCAGATAGAAACTGTCAGCCTGCTTGTGCTACTTTATTCCTCTCAAGACTCCATACTTAATTCAGGGAATTATATCTGGGACAGAAACAAGTAATGGCAGCTGAAAACTAGAATGCAGTTAAAGATTCCTCCATTGGTGGACAGAGGTGCCATAAATGGGGTATGAGTCAGGCTGCAGATGGTAATTGCTCTCACCCTGCACCCACCTTGTGTGGAATTTTGAGAAGTGGATTCTGAATAACAACTCCAAGCTGCATGGTAACAATGACTGGTATGTGCAGAAGATTCCTGCTGCAAACTGGAAAAGGGTAAGAAGCATTCTAAGGGAACTTTCAGATGGAGTTCTTAAAGTGGCTTGAGGACACTGTGCAGGCGGCTTATGCAAATCAGGACGCACCTCAAAGTTTGATAAGAAAGATCTACCAGAGGGAAAGAGCATTTAAAGACAAAATGTACTATCTAAAAATATTAAACAAGTTGTGCCATAAGGTGAAAATAATACTGAAAGGTTGTAGACTGGGAAGGAACCTATTAGTCCTGTGGCTAGCAGAAACAGCCCTATCAAATGATCCTTGCCTTTTCTTGACTGTAGAGGGAGCTGGATACCTACTTGCATTAAATTGCAACAGGAATTCCTAATAGTATATAGTATAGTATATAGTATATAAAATTGGAGTCAGAATCATTTATTAACGTAATGTACGTAAGTATATGTAAGAAGACACACTGAAATTATACACAGGTTCCCTAATTTAAATTCATGTATTTCTTTTGAATCCTGGAAAATATTCACCTCAATCCATAGATCTCCAAAAGCAATCTTCAGTTCTGTTTCTAAAATAGAAGATAAAACATCTCCCAAGCTTTTTTCCATGTCAAAAATAATTTCTGAAAGATGATCAGTGGAATTCTTTTGAGCCTTGGGGTATCTATCTGTTAATAAGCAAGACCAACATTAATGTTTCAGTTCACCTCAAGCTCCAATGCATTAGGTAAAAAAGTAATTAGGACCCATTAGCATTCTTTGTACATGATCCTGTGAAGACTCATGTGGTGAAAGGAGGTTCAGACTGATGCTCTGTTCAGACTGCTTTGTATCCCAAAGCATTTTTTTGCCTTGAAATCTGAAGCACTTCCCAGCCTTGTTGGATGACACCCTGATGATCACACAGCCCAAGCTCTTCCATATCAGAATCTACTACATTCAACTGATCTCTGATACTCTCCTTATTTGCATATCAAGACTCCTCAGAAGTAGTCCCCCAACTTAACTGAGGAACTCTACTAATGTTAAAATATAAATTATTTCTCCAGCCAATTCATTGCAACTGGTCTGATACCACCTCCCCATCTTCTTTTCAGTGTTTTTCCCCCCTATACTTAACTGCTATCTTTTCTTTAGTCCCTTAATAGTCATTTGGAAGCACAAAAACATTATGCCAATTAAATCAAGAATTTCATTCCAGCTGGAGCTAGATTTAATGTAACATATACTTTAGAGTAATATTAGCATTTCATCAGTTATTTTTTTTCAGTTTTAGATTGTAAAATCTTACAGTTACCTGGGAATAGATCCTACAGAATTTAGAGGGACTTATTCTCAGTCAAATGGTATGGTTAATTCCCTTATAAGGCACTACTCTTATGAAAATATATAAAGAAAAACCAACCTTTTCCCAGCTTGTCACTGGAAGTGTCTTCACTAATGATTATGCCCTGTGGAGTCATTTTCTGGAACGCAGCAACTAGATCTGCTTTACTATATGCCTTTATTTCACTCACTAGGGCTTTGTTGCACAAATTTTTATCATTTCTATTAAAGAAATACAAACAAACATACCCAGCTTTCATTTTGCTTTCCTGGGAAATGGAAGACAATTATCTGTGTCCATAATGCTAAGCTATGATGTAACTGATATGATTTTAGCATGATGGGCGAACATTAAATACCATATATTCAATGAACTATGGTTTAAAATATCCTACCTTTGTGTTATATGAGCTGATGAATATCTCAATGCCTCTGTGAAGCCATTTTAAAATAAACCCCCCACAAACAATTTATGAGTTGAACTTGGAAAATTCTGTTTTCAAAGGTACACATTTCTAGAAGCTCTGAATGAAAAATTCCTCTTTCTTTACTTAGATTCCCCAGAATCCCTACATAAAACATATCTGCATCTGCCATGTTCAATTGTTTGAAACAGATATATAGTATTTGTTCTTCAGTAAAATGAAAGACAATAGTTCTAAAAACAGTATTACTTCTAAAAACAAACTGCTAACTTCTTTGTCTGAAAAACTGTCATCTCCAACAAAAGGTAGAGTAATATGATACTGCATGACACCAAGGGTTCCAAGGGTGTTTTTAAAAAGAGATGTTGCTGAGAAAAATCAATACTGCATTTCTTTTTTTAAAAATGTATTTAAAATGATAGTGCACTTATCGCCTTGTCAATGAAATTTAGATCCTCTGCTAGAAAGCTACACCGAAAACTTACGTCAGCAAGATTACTTCAGCTTGAGGATAAAGATTTTGATACTGAAGGCAGCATTGCAACACACGATCATCATTGTTCTCAGTACTGAAACTTTCTGAAAATTTAGAAAAGTAGATAACTTTGTCATGTTATAAAAAATTGGCTGATGAATGAACAGCATTAACACAAAGCAAGCAATGAAAAATATATCTCACAACATTTGTGGCATTCTTCACTTAAGATTATCATCTGTGCTTCTGATGTTCAGTACTTAGTAGACATTGCTTCGACTCTCAGTCTTGGGTATTTAACTTTTTTATATATATGTGAGGGTGAATTTGTGCCAATACCTAGAAGGAAGCATTATTCAAAAGAGAACACAAACTTGACCAGAATGGAGATTTCTTATCTTCTCAATTAATTCCACGAATTATAGTTGATTATGATTGTTACATTGTATTTGAAAGATATAGTGGTTCATGTTGAAGAATAAGCCATGGTTCACAATAACAACACACAAAAACAAAGAAGACTCAATAAAATTAAACTCATTATATAAAACCCAGGCATCATAACACTCGTATCCCAAATACACAAGCACTCAACTCCCATCCTGGCTCAATGCCTGGGGGAAAAACATGGTCTTCACAGCCTTTTGGAAGGCTAAGAGGGTAGCGGCCTTCCAAATCTCAGGGGATAGGCCTCCTGGTGATACTTTGGTTATCTCAAGGACGCACTGCTGTAAAGCATCCAAAAGCTTCAAATGATGCAAAATGTAGCAACTACTCCACACATGATACCATGATCCTGTAATGCCCATACAGAAAGGTGGTGCTGCTTCTTGCCAGGTTTAATTTAAGGTGTGGAGTCCTTGGAGTTCTCTGAGCTCAGAGAACCCCAAGGACTCCACAGTTCAACCCTGAGCTACACATATTCACCTTAATTTAAGGTATTGGCTTAAAGCACTAAGCAGCTTAGGACCAGGCTATCTGAAGGACTGCTATCTCTTTATAATTTTTTCAGATGTTAAGAGCTGCACTACTAGGGACCTTCTCTTGATGTGGCACAGTGTACTTACTGTAGACCTGGTCCCCAGTTTCTGTGTCTCTTTTAAAAAGGCATTAAGATGCATCTCTTCCATTTAGTTTTTTATTATTCTGAATGATAATATTCTTACTGTCTTATGTATTTTACCTCATTTTAAATTATGTATTTTTAAAATTTTCATTCTCTTCTATCACCAACCGTAAGTAGGTGGAGAATCATAAAATAATGGTGATAGTGTTGATAAAGTAACAAGAATAAATTGCTTCCCCTGAACCAATTTATATCTGTGATTTATTTTATTTATCATTTGGCTGGGAGCATTTTATATTGAGCAGTAGATTCCAAGACACCTGCTACCTTTATTTCACTGACTGCTTCTCAAATCTTTAGGGCCCAGAAACATTCTTAGGAGGAAATCAAAACAAGTCTAGAAAAACTAATCCTTCACTTTGAGCGCTTCCTTGCGCTTTCTGGCCAGTGGAGAGAATTAACCCATTTTGTAGATACATCCATACATTGCAACTGGGAAGGCAGGTGGGGCAAGGGAAGGTCTTGAGAACTGCAACACTTGACTTCAAAGCAGTCAACACCATTATTTTAGACAAGAGAAAGAAACAAGCATAGAAAAGCATCCTCAATATTTTCATTTCTGATGGAATAATTTAATCTAAATGGGGTTTATTACCAAGTATGTGCACTTACTGAAGGTCTTAGAGGTCTAAGAATAGGAATAAAAATATGACTATTTCTACAATGACTTACGTGTTTTTTGTGAAGCAAGCTGCATGGATTGACCCCACAACTTTGGATCTTGATTTTTCAGGCAAGTATAGATGAAGTGAACTGCAGGGATTGCTTTTTGCCCAACATTTGCCAATATCTTTCCTCTCTTTAAGTTATCCAGTTCTTGCAAAACTACCCAGGGAATTAATAGCAAAAATCTGCCTATACCTAATTTGGAGAAGAGTAGCATTTTTATCAAAAATTATCAAAGTTCTTAAAAGAAAAACATTGCACTTGTAAAATCCATTTGGTTGTATTTCAATATTCCTAAACAAAATATTCCCTTAATCCTCTTGTTTTCTATCCTTATCCTTTTATTTCCCTATCTCTGTCCTGTTATTTGTTGATTCCCACAATTATAATTTCCAGAAAGAAGAAAAAAAAGAACTGTTTTAGCTCAAAACTATTTCTGTATGTGTGTGTGTTAGGTTTTGTTTTTTTTTTGGCAGTTGCCAGATGCTTTACTTTCAAGGAAACATACTTGAAGCCTGGGAACAAAATGAAAACAAACTAACATGGGATCAGTATACTTAAAACAATCTTCCTCAGGTGCAAAGCCAAATAGATGAAAAAAATAGCACGATAATATATAATGCAGAAGAATTTAGTCAGGCACCTTATCATCAAGTAAAATTCTCAGCTCCAAATTTCCGTTATTCAGTTAAAAGAAAACTCAAACTACTATAAATAAGATTTGCTAAACTAGATTTTACGAGTTTAGTTATCTATTACTTCCCTTTAATTTTACCAAATAGTAAAAAAAAAAAAAAGCAATTTTCTTAACATATTAAATAAATACACTTATACTAAATATTTTCAATCTAGAAATTGCACTGTTATGACTAGAACTATGAATAAGCTACAAGTTATCCCCAACTCAACATCTTTCAGAGCTGTTGGACTGTAACTCCCACAGATAATGATTATGAGGGGATGAAAGTTATAATAAAATACTTCTTGACTGCAAGATTGCAGAGCATTTAAACAGCAAGCATTTTGCAATATATATTTGCGCAAGTTAAACATTTCATGCTTTACTTTGCTGGTGCTCCTGGTGGAAATGTCTGCAAACCATCAAGGAAAGCTCTGAAAGCAGCTACAGAAGCCCTCCAAATGACATGTCTGTTTCCAATGTCTTGAGAAGGGCTGATCCTAACAAGCTTTCTGAAGCTGGTTTTAAATGACTGCACAATCGTTTGTTCAATCACAAATACACAGTAGACATTCTCTGATATGAGATTTGGAGCTGAAGCTTAGCTTTCAGGCTAAAAAAAGATGTGGCAGCTGATAGAGAAGCAACATCTTTCAGGCAAGATGCACTTGATCAAGGCTTATGACTGATATAAATCCACATGTACCTGGGATATCTGCATTCTTCAAATATTTGATGAATTCCAAGTGGCTGATCATTATATTAGTATCAATCACAATCAAAGTATCCAAACCAGAAAAAAATTCTATTAGAAAAGAAGAAACAAAGTGATTCAATACTTGGCTTTCTCTTTCCTCTTCCTATTGCCCTGTTAATGGGAGAGACAGCAGAAAACACCTGACACAGATAAGCTTACTAGAAGATATATGTGATTCATCATCTGAGAGATCTATTTCCATGCAAGTTAGCTCTCCACAAGTCTGTACCACAGGCAGATCCATCTTCTTCTCAATACGAGCTGCATGCAAGTCTTCCACAATCTGCATCTATGAAAATAATTGTGAAATCATGAGTTGATATCTTAAGCACAATATAAGGAATCCTGCCAGTCTTCAGAGCCCCCAATTCTTGCTACTTTTCATTCTTTCTCTTACTGCCTATCTACTTCCCCAAGCAAGTGGGAGGAAGGGAAGGGAAGGGAAGGGAAGGGAAGGGAAGG